TAATGTCACAGTGTATGAAATAAAGTTCTTGTCTTGATGTGGGAATGTGCCAGTTGCCTATGCATTCGTGAACTGGGCTAATAAGTTACAGTATATTCAGCATGAACTGATGTACATTGTGAGTCATTCATCAGAAGATACTTGGCGGTGGGGGAATTTAGGCCACAAGTCTGCCCTTGATACAATAATTTGCATGTATGATAATTTTATTTTTAAATTTTATGTGAAATCCATGCAATTAAGAGATGATTTTCATGACAAAGTGACACTTTTAGAAGCATCATAGCATAACAGTTTACATAAAGCTTGAGTGAGGTTAGCAACTTCATTCACTGAACAACTTTGTGGTACGAAATATACTGGACATTTATTTTTTTTGTTCACTGCCACTCTTTTACTGTTCCAAAATGTCACATTCCAAATTATTTAAAATGTAATGTGTTCCAAAATTTTCTTATTTATGGCAATTATAGAATATGATACAGCTTTTAATTCCATTACCTACTTCAATATAAACTTCTTAAAAATGAAATTTTAAGTAAAAGTGAATGAGACAAAAATATTTTTAGAAGTGTGCTTGGATAATTTATGTGATCATTCAGTGGTGAGATAATACCAGACATGCAGCACGGACCCAGTGTTCATGCTGTCTTCCACCTCCTCGTTATTGCTCTTGCCCTCTGATCTCCAACAGTGCGGGACCATGTATAGTTTAATGCAATATTGACGTCTCACACTGGCAACCCCTGCTGTCTCCAGCACAAGATGGCTTGTTTTTCAAATATGGTCTTTTAGTGCTTGAATGTGGGATATAATGAACTGTTTGACCCAAGTGAAGGAATCAGCCAATATATGAAGTGTTTTGTTTTCAGGTCATGCAGAATTTATAATTTAGGAATTGTTTCTAAAATTAAGAATAGCATCATAGGGCAAACCACGTTGTCTATGTGTTAATTGGTTATTAATTAAACATGGCCACAAAATTTATGCTATCACAGACTGTTTGACTTTTTCACTGACATTAACATGTCAGACATGAAAACTTTTGAAGTGGAAGCAATGGCCTAACTTTGATAAAGGATATTGGCAATTTACAAATTTTGTTATCCATTGACTTTCAGTGGATTTCTCCTCCTCCTTCTCCTCTTTCTGGTGTTCTCACTTCAAGCATAGGGCATCCATAAAATGTTCCTTTCACTACAGTTTCTTAATCTTAGACATTTGGTAGGACTTCTAGGAGGGGGATCAACCTGTCACAAGGTCGCTGCCTAACACAATCGCAGAATAAACACAAACAGACATCCATGCATTGAGTGCGATTCGAACCCATGACCCTAGTGCTCACGCAAGCAAAGTCATTTCATGCATCAGACGGCACTACCACTTTAATCGACTTTCAGTGGTCTTCACAGTGTTATAATATCCCAGAAGACAGAACTCTTCATAATCATTGTTGCAAGAACTTCATATCCTACTGTTTCAATATAGAATCTGCTTTTCTGTTATCTATGTATCTAATAACAATAACTAGTAAACCTAGGATACTGCGCATAAAAATTTAGTATGGTAATGGACTGGAAATGAATCAGAAAGGCCAACCTTAGATTATATTCATATTATACAAAATACTGGACAGAACCCTCACATGCCAATATAGTTTCACATTAGGAACTGTGAGTTCTAGTGTTTAATCTAGCATCTTCAAGTATATATTTTTGCCTCTTTATTCAAAATTATTTTTGTTTTCCATTTTACATTAAATTCCATGGTATTCTGTTTATGTAAAATGTTTGAGAACAGTTATGTGTGTTTCACATATATACTCTTTGTGCACTGTAATTATTGTAGGTGTGGTAAACATTCATTAAGCAGTGTATTAGGAAATAATTTTATTTTGGGCATAACTAAAATAAATATGAAGAATGTAGTTATGAACTGCAGGTTTTGCCTACCAATGAAAAATGTTGGTTATCATAGTACGTAATCTATGAGTGATATAAGTGACTCTAAAATGTTTCAAGTATGTCTGTATATATTGATCATACATACATAATTCCTTTCATCAGCATTGTGTTCATAATGAGGAAATTTGTTTATGTAAATGGATGTCTTTGTTGCACAAAGGACCAAAAACATTTAACAAGAAACAATACCAAAACCATAAATTTTAATCTCATCATGTTGATTAATTAATGTAGTACATGTAACTGAATCTGTAGTTCTATTTCAGGCAGCCAGTGACAAGTCAGATATAGTTAAGTTTCTGATGTGTGCATAATCTGGCTGTTATGTGTTTATTGTTTTCATTGTAAATGTTCTTAATGAATGTTAAGTTTAATTATCTAAATGTATACAACCTTCATTTGCTTCCTGCTTGTGTTTTAATAGTAATTTTGAACTGTTTTTATTGTATGGAATGCAGATCACCCTCTTTGAGCCCTGTCATGATTCAGAGTACACATTAAACTGCAGGTTACTGGTTGCCAACTGCAAACTATTATATTAATCGTTACTGTCACCAGAAGTCAATAGAATCCTGCCCATTAGGAACTTCAACATTCAAATTTGATTTATTTATTCCTTTTCATTTTACCCTGCCAGTTCTCATTGTTATAAGTGTATATTTTACTCTCATGTATTTTACCTGTTGGACAATTTCACAGTCTACATACCCAGTAATGTTAATTAGTTTTGTGATCTTGAAAAAATCTTGAGAAATGTTAGAGGATAAAAGATGTACCTCTCTTCTTCTATTCTAGGTATTATTTCCACAAATGTGAGGGGATCTAAACATCAGGTTATCTGTTATTTCATGCTTTACCTTTCCCTACCTTAATCCAGATGTTTCCACTATTTTTGAAACTGTGTGCCTTACTTTGAAATTCACACCATTTCTTTGGAACTATATTCAAATAGTCAAAAGACAAGAGCTCCTGAAAGAGTAAGTCCATCAGACCATGGGTACCTTTTGGATCTTGCACCATACTTGTGTGAGGCTGTATTTGTACCCCAGCAGGGACCATCAATCATCAGGGTAACCCATGTTATAAGGGTAGTGTCTTGGATTGTATGCTTTTGGACTAAAGCGATGGACAGCAGACCTGCAGTGATGTTAAGACAGGTCTTGCAATTTGCTAATGGCTTTTCTTGTCTAAACTGAGAAACCTTGGAATGTGGAATAAGATACTATCCCAATACAGTCCAACAGATGACCCACTAAATCACATTAATACTTCTGGACTTGAATGTCAATAATAACTCTAGGTTCAAATACAGCTGATTGAGATTAATTTATTGCTAACTAAACTACAAAAAATCAAAATAATGAACTAGACATTCTAATTATTGGTGAATACTTGCAACTTGATTTTACATAGAAATGTTACAAGATTAATGTTGATTCTAGAGGGTTCTGACATTGTAACACTCAGGTTTAATGAGTTTTGCGACTTCGTCCATCTTCTAATATTCTGTAGGGTGCAGCATTTCAGGAACTGGACCTATTTCCTTCCTCAGGTGAAACCTGAATTCCAAAAACCCAGTAATGCTGAAAATTAAAGTTGAAGAGTAAAGCAATTTTGTGTCGTAAACAGTTACCAGAAACAGTGTTACAGAAATTTAATGTGAAGTTCTGGAAAGAATATGTACTTCCTTTAACTGTTTCCATTTGTATAAAGAGACATGTGAAAAAGTTTTAAATTATAAACGACAGAATTTAGTGGAAGGTGCTGGCATAGCTGTGCTATGGACTAGGTGGCAGGGGTTTGATTCCTAGTGAGAGAAAAGCTTTTTCTGTGCCCCACAGTTTCTGGCCTGGTTCTGAGGCCCACCCAACTTCTTATTCAATGAGTATTGGAGTTCTTTCCCCAGGGGTAAAGCAGCAAGAATGTGAAGCTGAATACTCATCTCTGTCTAGTGGTAAGGCCAAGAATGGTGGAGCTATACTTCCACTCCCCCATACTTCTTCAAAATGTGGTGCTTAATTAATGAAGTACAGGGACTTAACATTTTCTCACTTTCTTTAATTTGGTAGACAATTTTTGTATGAAATTTCTTCCATTATAAACTTCTAAGAAACATAGGTTGTAAAGCATAATCTTACAGAGGGACACTTGGATTATGGGAAATGGGCTAGAAATGACAGTCTGTTAACTAAATATGCAACTACGTTTTGAAATTGCATTTATTAATGTTCCCTGTGAACAGAAAATTGGAAATTTACACTGAAGTTTACCACTAATCAGCATAAGCATATGTAATACATTTTGCAGTAAGTCTTTTTTAACAGTTTGGTGTCTTTCTTGTTAACAGATTAAGTTGAAAATATTAATGTTGTGTTGCTCTGCTATGCCTTAGTTGCTATTATCAATATAGTGAAAGAATGCATATTTTATTTATGGTTTATTTAGTGATATTTCCAGTAGCTCTGACTGTATGATGTTGAAGAATGCCACAGATGTTTAGTTTCCAGAATAGACAGCACACTGCAATTGCTAATAAGATTACGCTGTATGTGGCAGTCATTACACCAGCAATGTAGAATTACTGGACACTGATCAAATACTTCAATAAATACTGATCAGATAGCCGTAAGTTGCATTCATGAATATTTTATTGACAAACACGTGAGATAAGAATGTTATTATCCTTTGATTTATTTATATTCTAACTTTTAATAAGACGCAGTTTAAAAATAATGTCTATTAGACAATTAAAGATTTTGTAAGTACAGCCACAGAAAGCTTATGTCGTTTAAGTTCTAATGACACTAGGATTATAAGTGTTATGAACATAAACCGGCCACTCATTTCCATAATTTTCTATAAATATGAATAAATGCATTTCTTACAAAAGTTGCCATTATATGATCCATTATCAGTTCAACTCTTCAACGTCAGCATCCTGAACATGATAAAAATATGGGTCAGATACTGATTACATTGGTTTCCATTGCTTTACTAGTTCAGTCCATTATATTACAAATCAACGTGAGAAGTCACCACATTTGAAACATTTACAGTCAGCTGGTTCTCTGATTTTGACATTAAGAGATGCTTGCCCTTCTTGTGTGAGTCTCGCTCCATCAGGATCATAGCAGTGAGTCAGGGTGATGATACGCTCTCTCAGGAAACTCTCATGGCAACAGTAACATTCCTGAAACAATCAGCAGCTTTTAGTTACTGACAACTGAAGGAGTAAAAGTCAGTGTGTCTTTTTAAATCTCGGATGTCTCAAAAAATTGTTGAGCAATTGGTGCTTAAATATATAAAATTCAAATAAATAAGTCTACCCATTTAATTAAAGCAGAGTGTTATGACACAGGTAAAGGATTTTAAATTATAATTTTTCTAAATTGAAAGGAAGGAGAAATGCTATAGTAGAATTAGGAGTTGTCAGAAAGAATGTGACAAATATGGTACTATACACTTCCTCCTGTGTACAACTGAGAGGAAAAAATAGAAATAGAATGAGAATACCTAACAAATTTTAGAATTGTCTAGAAATGAAATTACAACAAATTAGTTACAACCTCTGCAGTATTTTCACTTTTGTGTGTGTATGTGGATGTGTGTGCACATGCGGATCTTGCCTTCAGGAATCCTGTGGGGGTGATCACACTAGGCTGCACCTGTGAAGTGCAAGAACCTTCACACTTGTTGACACTCACTTCACTGCTACATGTTCGTTGCAGACGCCCAAGGTCATCAAATTCCTCTAAAAAATCAAATCAAGATATTTCATATGTAATTATATATCTGGTTTATTTCAATTTCACAATCTGCATGTTCTTTCCCTGTGATGATCATGCTAGCAGTTTTCGCAGGATCCTTTTATGAAATACGAATACTGGAAAAACGTGTAAGAACTTTGGGATTTCGTTTGCGTGATTCTGTGATGTAGGGTAAAATTTTTAGTGTCTTCCTCTAGCTTATACAACAATAACATTTTCTTTGAAACACAATTTTCCACGTGGTATCTCATTTGTGTATTAGATGGCGCTTCTTTCATAATACGGTCTGATGTCTGATAGTTATGGAGGGAATCTTAAATCGCTTCCTGTCTGTTTCCCAATACTACCAAATATGTCGTAATAATTGATGTAAATTTGTATTATTATCAGAGAAATATCTTAATGAAAATGGAGAAGTTAAAGTAATCAATATTTACAGAGTGAGTTATATAATGCAAGATTGATAAGAAGTGCCGATTCTTTAGGGAATCCTTCATCTATAACAATTTGGAAATTGGACCTACTGTTGCTGTGTAAACATGTGAGCATGTGAGGAGTTCAAATGTTCAAATGGATGTGGAAATGTGAATGCGATTGGTGTGAATTTTTCATGGCTTATTCGGGAATGAAAGAAGAACTATGGAAAATACAGTAACTCGTCTTGCTGATAGTATGGAAATGCTGTCTGCAAAGCAAAGGGCAACAGCACTGGTGCAAACTATCGCCAAACTATTTGTTTTATTACACGTGTTCCTATTACTCTATAATTTGGTTTGGATATGGACAAATTCAGTAAACTGTCCTCTCCCCCTTTCGTAACGACTGGCGGTAAGTTACTTTCTTTTTTTGTTGTTGTTACAAATAGAGATTTAGCTATGTTGGATCTGAGGTTCTCACAGCAGTGAGATGTAGGACTGTGTAGTCTGGTGAAAGTTAACCAACGTTTTGGAGGAACGTATAATCTCCATCTTCAGGGTGGGAAAGTAAACAAAGCAAGAAATTAGCATGAAGCAGGGAGCAAAATGGTGTTTTTTTTTTTTTTTTGCATAACTCAGTTTTGACCCAAAAGATGGAGGCAATATGTTCCTCCAAAACATTGGTTTCTTTCACCGGACTACACGGCGTTATATCTCAGAATATAGAAATATTCAGATATACACTTAGTTTTGTTCTTATGGCCTTGAGAATGAAAAAGGCGCCCCCCTCTTCATGTCCTTTTCCAAGATATGAATTTGAATACAGTGAATATCAGATACATACAGGTCCAGAGATAGGGATAGAAGTGAATACTCGTAGACAGTATCTACTTGAAGAAAGCAGTCTTCTGGGATTTGGCACTGTGTATATGTGGTGTTAACCGACGTTTCGGAGGAACGTATCGCCTCCATGGATTTCTTATATTTTTCCTTCTACCCTGAAGATGGAGGCGATACGTTCCTCCGAAACGTCGGTTAACACCACATATACACAGTGCCAAATCCCAGAAGACTGCTTTCATCATAGTCACCACCGTGAAAGCCTCAAATCTTACATAGTATCTACCTGGTTCCAGCAAGTTTTTTCTAACAGAGCTTCTCGATTTGACATAACCATCGATCCTGACAACAGTACATGTAGGAACAAATTCCAGAATGTTCATTGTAATAATGTTCTTTGTTACATGTGTTGATTATTGGCAGGGCTTGTCTACAGATGTGGAACATCAACCCAGTTTGCAAAGCCATTTTCAGTCCTGCATATAAGCAAAACTTCTATTACTGTATCATGATGATAAATTCTTGCCAATTTTAAGAAAATTTAATTAATCCTTCTTAATATGGTTGTAGTCAGTATAGAATTACAACATGCATTTTTTTTTTGTATATTTCCTCCACTTTAAGCTTACTATGTCTAATGCATGGTGTAATTTAGTCAGTGGTCACAACATTCTGAATGTATATATGTTTATTATAAGAATAAGGCAATTTGTAATGTCATAATTTTATATTCCATGTTCTTTCAAAGCCTTGGGAAGTGAAAAAATATTGTTATGCATATGAGTAGCTTGGCAGATATTAAGTCTGTGTGCTAGCATGCCCCAAGAAATTGAAGGATGCCAAGATGATCTTATTGTTCAGTGTTACTGAGTGACAGATATGACTGTTTAGTTTTCACTTTCAGAACTTTTCTGTGGTATTAGACATTATTTATTTATTTTCTGTACAGGACTGACCTTTGATGATGTGTATTTCAGAGGGTAGTGTTTCACATGCCACATCATCCCCTGCTCGGACCACAGGTGGTACACCCATGAAGAGGAGGATGAAAAGGGACAAGTGACGAAGCCACCATGCTGTCTCACTTACCATCTTTTAACATAGAAAGAGAAGACGGGTGAGTAAGACATTTAGTTTTCTGTAGAAATTGCAATTAAGTAACCCTGCAACATTCTTTTTGCTTTCTTCTGTAGTAGTAATATGTATGAGAAAGTGTTGTGGTGGTGTCAAAAATTGATCTTGAGGTTTTCAAGGACTTACACATTTTGAGCCCCCTAGAATTCAAAACAGTGGTTTCTGAAATGCTGTCACCTGTCTGTATGTAATGTATGAACCTGTGGATGAATGAATGTATGTCTTACTAGTGTCTGAATGATTGGGCAGGTTTTCCTCTTATTCAGTTTTTAAGAATTTATTCATCACAGGTTGGTGCCTGCTGATATGAACATTCTAACTCCAAAATTAGTGGCCCTTCATATGGGCCCCCAGAATGCAAAATGGTGATTTTCTTTAGAATGGCTCTAATAGATATTTATTAGATTTCAATAATTTGTGGAAACCATATCCCTAAATAAAACTCCTTAGGTGGTAGCTTCAGGAAAATAATGGCAGTACGCTTGCTAGAGACGCATATGTGAAATGTTGATTTTGTCAAAACGAGGTAGAATTTGTTGTTTGGTATTTGGGAGCCAACAGTAGTCTGTCAAACAATGGTGAATTTTGTTTCCAAGGCAATGTACTCAAGTTCAACTGTGTAGGAGAAAGTTTGTGCAGTGTGTTTGCACTGATTGTTTTTTTCTTGCAGGAAAGTCTTGTGTACTTTGTATTTTATGGTAGTTGCTTCATTTATGTCAACTTGTGCATGTTTTTTGTCTTAGAGTAAGGAACTCAACCAGTGAAATGTGATGCAAAGAACTGAAGGAGCCACTTCAATGAGAGGGGGAACTGATACACTATATCACAACTCTCACTTTAATAAGTTTCAAACTATTAAGCCATTAACTTGCTTAAAATGTAAGGAAATAAGGGAATATTTCATACCGAATGTCAGTTTTTGCGGAATATCTATGCAATGTTAGAAGAAAGACAAACTTGGTTCTGAATGCTTCAGAAATACAACATGTGGTACACAAACTTGCTTAGGTGAGTGTTAATGCTGTAGACTTGCATATGTGAAGTGCTAAGTTTGAATCTCGACCATGGCACTGACTGCCCTGATTCAGGTTTCTTGTGGTTTTCCTCCACAACTCCTGCAGGCAGTTGCCTGGACAGTACCTCAGTCAGGCTATGATTGCTTCTATCCAAATGCTTGCCAATTCATCATTTAGCCGTCTCTGCACTATTTGACTTTGTGTACTGTAGGTACTGCTAGTGTCACAAACACTCATGCATGCACGCACACACACGCACACACACACATGCATACACACACACAGACACACACATAGTAAATGTTGTACAGCATTATAGTGAAGCCAAAATTATGAAAATAAATGCATGTCTTTTGCATTATTGTAAGAGGGACTTAAGAAAAGATATTTCTACAGTAACGACCAGGAACTGAAGCTCGATGTTTGTTACACTCTTACACTCATCATAGTACCATATGATTCCAATGGAAGTGACTTACATAATCTGAAGTAAAATAAGTGAGGCCAGGAGAATATAATTCCATTATGGAATTAAAGCAGATATCCTCACGTAGATTTTGAGGCAGTGAACACTGTTGAGAAATTGGATTAAATTTGATTTGAGTGTAAATGAAACCTTTTTGAATAGTGCTTTACTTCTGTGGGGTAATGTGTTCCCGTGACAGATTTAGATGTTATAGTCTTCTTGCTGAAAGTGAAGATTTGGAGCCCCTAATTTCTCTGTGCTGCTGGTATTTCAAATTCCCTTTGGAACTTGGTTTGTATGTAGGAACAGAATTTGTCTATTTGCATTTCTTTGGTATGGTGCTGCTAGTCTTACCTTCCTGCGGAGTGTGCTGTATGTCACTGTGATTGAGACTGGATCTTGACTGGAGTAGTATTGTAGCAGACTGAGCCTCTAATATTGGTGCCACCACCACACCCTACCACATCCCCTCCCTACAGACGGTACCTACCAGACTGCTTTAAAGTGAGATGTGATGGAATCTATATAGGAGGGTCCTGCACAATATCTGCAGTTTCCTGGGCTACCCACAAAATTCTTCAGGATGTACTTATGAGGCAGCTGGTTTGTATCTTGGCTGCAGGTTAGTGGGACACCTAACCTTTGTTTGGTTTCTACAGGTAGGTCGTGATCATTTTCTCCCCGTTCTCTCAAATTTTACCATTCAGTATCATGCATATAATTTAATTCTACGTGGCCTTTGTGCTTGAATCAGCATGTTCAAGCATTTTGAAGTGAATATTCCATGGGAATAGTTGCTGCATATATATTTATTATTCTACAAAATGGAATAGGTTACTAGTTCTTTATAATATCTCATGATGTGTAATGGTGTGCAGTCTGGTAGAAGTTCACTGATGTTTTGGAGGAATATAATACCTTATTCTTGGGGTAAAGGGCAGCTGGGGCTTGAGGCTGACAGCCTTACCGCCGTCTATGAGCTGATTGTATAGAAAATGTGGGAACCCCAACATCTCACAACCCTATGGGCCTCCACGACCTGTTACAGGGATACCTTTACTTTTTTACTTATTTCTGAAATGAACATGTTCAAAGAAACCCTTTCCTGTGATGCACTGTCATGGAGATGAAGAGGTAATGCACAGGTACTGCAGGACTTTATGTATGAAGTGGGGTGACACGGGAACATCTTGATGTCAGTTGTGTTTCAAACAGTTAGGCAGGTTGAATGTTCTGCTGATCAGCAGTTGCACTGTATGAAGCTGTACAAGCTGTGCAAGCAGCGCAAGCAGCATGTCTCTGTTGGCTGTCTGAGGGGGGTAACTGGTGGGGAGCCTCCTGCTGAGGTGGCATGGAACTGTGCTCCAGCTAATGGCTCTTCCCCTGCAGTCAGAACATGCAGCTCCAGTAAGGGTCATTATATTCTTGTCTGATACAGTGATGTCACCCTTATAGGGCCCACCTCCATAACTACAATACCCTTGCCAGGATTCAGATATTAATTGTACAGCAGTAGATGATACTATTTGCATATGTGGTGATTATTAAGTTCAAAGCACCAAGAAAATTTGGACTGATGCTGTAATGGCATAAAGGATTGAGTAAAAGAGGAAGAGAGATTTGTGACAAAAATGATTAGTAAGAAGGAGAAATGTGCATGCTCTGCACTTTCCCATGGGAATGGTTGAAAGAAACCATTAATACTTCCCAGTAATTTCCTGACTGACAAGAGCTGGGAGGCCAAGTCTCAAGTGGACATGCTAGGTCAGGTCACATGGTGAGGATGCTGGGAGATGTGTATGCTGCGATGATGGAATAGTGATTAACATGGGAAAACCAAAGTATCTGGAGGAATACCTGCTCCAGTGCCACTCTGTCAACAGATCCTAAATGAATTGCACTAGAATGAACTCAGACCTGCATTTTGAGAAGCCAATGACTGTCCACCTGAGTGATAGCACAGCCAGAAGTCTCAGTAAGGTTAGCCAATACCTGGAATTTAGTGCCACTGCTTGAGTACTGGATGAGATGGGATTATGTTCATGAATGGTAAATGGGCAAGGATTTGAAAGGAGACGATCTTGGCCTATTTCAAATTACTGCCCCGCCATTCAATTGTCAGTTCGAATCCTAGCCAGGACACTTGTTATCTTGATTGAGGGTTTTTCTTGGTTTTCTTCAGTCCCTCCAGGCAAATATAAAAGGGGGATTTTGATTAGTATATGACCATTGCCTTCAAAATCATTTCCAATTTGTCATCATTCATGTATCATCACACAGCATTTACTATTGATACTGAAAGAGTCACTGAATAACCTAAAATGAAATAAATCAACTGGAGAGATCGCAGAAAACCATGAAGAAGGCAGTCAGAACACCTAGTAACCTGTGAACACCTTGAGTAGGAGTCTAGACAACCTACACCAGCATGCTTGTTCACTGTGTTTTGGAGGAACTTACTGCTCCCATCTTCAGGGTCAAAGAGTAAACCAAACAAGGAGGGCAATCTTGGGCTTACTTTTTGACCCTGAAGGTAGAGGCAACGTGTTCTTCAGAAACATCAGCAGAATTTCTACCAGACTATACGGCATTACACCCTAGGTGGTAGTTATTTTAGGAATGTGAAGCAGGAGTGTGGACAAAAGGTGCTGATGCATCTCAAAACAAGGTTTTTCTGTTTTTATTTGTGTATAAAAGTGACATCATGTGGTGTCATGACGGCTTAAAGTTGATGTACTCAAATTTTTATGTACATGGCAGTATATTTCTCCAGCCGAGATTGCCCCTGCATAGCCCATCATCTTTATTCAGTGATTAGTACCTGTCTGTTGCAGTGTGTATGTAGCGTGGAGAATTGAGGTTCAGTTTTCGGCAGTGGTTAGAGATTTCCCTCTTCTTCTCCAGAGTGTCCATGTTGGCTCAGCAGGTGTACCATGGACTCTTGATCCCGGTCCAGAGTAACTGGAGTGTGGAGCTGATCATTTACCTCCATGTAGTACCAAGCTTATAAATGAGTGGAGTTATATTGCTACTCCCCCTGTGTCTTCATGGCACATCACTCGCTCACTCAGGGAGCTGAGCCCTTCTTGGAAAGCCGGCAATTATGCAGCTACTCAAGAACTTCCCAGCATTTTATGGAACCCGAAGGTTCATTACCATGGTCACAAGAGCCTTGTACTGGTCCCTATCCTGAGCCAGATCAATCCATTCCATACCATCCCATCTTATCCCTCTAAGATCCATTTTAATGTTGTCCACCATCCTACGCGTTGGTCTTCCCAGTGGTCTCTTTCCTTCTGGCTTTCTATATGCATTCCCCTTCTCCCCCATTCATGCTACATGCCCTGTCCATCTCATTCTCCTCCACTTGATCATTCTTATTGTACTTGGAGAAGAGTACAAGCTATGAAGCTCCTCATTGTGCAGTTTCCTCCAACATCCTGTCAGTTCATCTCTCTTCGGTCCAAATATTCTCATCAACACCCTGTTCTCAAACACCCTCAGTCTATGTTCCTCCCTTAATGTTAGAGACCAAGTTTCACACCCATACAGGAAAACAGGCAAAATTATAGTTTTGTATATTTTGATGTTTATAAGTTTGATTTGTTTCATCCTGGTCTGTCACACTAACAATATTATAAAAGGTTAATTAATTCTGACCAGTGTGACTGATGGTTCAGTCACGCTGGATGGAATTAATTAACCTTTTATAATCTGATTTTTATGTTTTTAGGCAGCAGGCGAGAATACAAAAGTTTCTGGACTGAATGGTAGCAAGAATTACCTGAATTCAGTCTCTTCTTAATCTCCTGAATAAGGTTTTAATTTGTTGTAGTTGTTCCCAAATATCTGGACTGCTCCACATTTTCAAAGCATTTGTTAACTATCTTTATGTCATGACTTTGCCCTGCACTCTGGTGATGAGACAGCAACATATACTTATTTTTCTCTGTTTTTATTTCTAGACCATCCTCCTTGCTAGCGTAAATTAAAGTTTGTGTGTTTTTCTTATCACCCAGTAGATTCACATCATCAGCATAGAATAACAGCTGATGTGTCCCATTTAATTTCAGTCCCACCTGGTTTTCCTGGACCTTGCTAATGGCATATTCCAAAGCATAGTTGAAAAGTAGTGGAGAAAAATCATCACCTTGTTTTAGACCATTCTGGATAGGAAAATTGTCAGACAGATGGTTACCTATATGTTCTTCACTATATGTTTCTTTTAAACACATTTTAATCAGCCTAACTCGTTTCATGGGTACCCCAAACTCTGTCAGAATATCGTACAATACTTCCCTCCTAACTGAATCATAGGCTTTCTTGAAGTCTACAAATAGCTGACATACTGTCTCATTGTACTCCCATTTTTTCTCCAGTATCTGACGAATGCGAAAGATCTGATCGGATCATCAAGTATACTTGAATTCTGTCATCTGTATATCAAAATGTGGTCAATTTGATTGTGCATTTTTCCATCGTCAGATATTGAAGTAAATTTGTGTGTTACGTTGTGGGAACATTGTACTTTTGGCAGTAAGATTTTTGGATGTGGTAAAGTTTACTACTCTAATTGTCAATAGATTTTCCGTCAAGTGCAACAATATATATTTTGGTCACTTATTTATCTCATCTGCCTTACATGTACACAATACACATCGCGTAAGATACACCCGACCACAAGCCCACATAACCCCGTGCTGACGCCTCCCCCCATTGGGACGATTCACCAAGAAGGAGCCTGAATATTTTACTTGAACGTTTTTTAAAAAATTTTTAACTTAAAATTTTAACTTTGACGACTCGGTTTGAGGGTGGTTTTTTAGATGCAAGTGCTATACCTGCATTCAAGATACTGGGAAGTGTTGTGCTTTACACTCTGATATATGTAATAGTTTCCACAAATAACTACATACTGTGGATGTTGAGCTGTGCCAGTGTTTTCATGATTTGTTGTAAGTGCCTCTGAAGATGGTTCCTTGGAACCGAAACATGTAAGGCAGATGAGATAAATAAGTGACCAAAATATATATTGTTGCACTTGACGGAAAATCTATTGACAATTGGTGATTAATAGTGTAACGGACCAAAATGAAACAATTCAAAATTTACTACTCTAACTCTGTTATCATTACTAATTTCGTGTAAACTCTCATTCCCAGTTGTTGGTTTGCAGATGTCTTCCCTGCATACTTTGGCAATGAAATCTCCTAACAAAATTTTTCACGTGGTATTTAGGGAATTTATCGAATCCATGTTCCAGGTCTTCATAGAATCTGCCCTTTATATTATCAGTTTTATCTTCTCTTAGGGCATGAACATTCAGAACGATATCACACCAGCTACCTCATAATATTATGTATGACAACCTATCACTAACAGACTCTACCATCTTAACTGCTCATACG